AAAATCCGTCCCAACCGAGATCACCCCCCTCAGCGCCGTCCACAGTAGATCAGCAGATCGCAGACATGACCCCGCAACAGATTCTCGAAGCCCAACGCGAGATCGCCTCCGTACTCTCCCCGGACAACATTGCCTTCCTCAAGAACCGCTCGCGCCCAGCACCATCTCCCACCCCACTTTCCGATTCTCACTCCCCATCCACCCCACTGTCCGCGGACGACCATGTTGAGCAGCAGAAGCGTCTCTGGATGACCGACGCTTGCGTCCCGCTCGAAAGCGATACCTCAGTCGATTCCCTTCTGTCCAAAGCTCTGCACGCCCTAGGACCCCTGGCCTCCCATCGCTTCGACCTTAAGGGTCATTCCCTCACCCCACACCAAATCGCCCACCTTCCAACCCACCTCGGTCTTCACCACCATGGCGCAGAGCCCGCAAGCGCAGGCTATACCCTCGCAGACCTGCTGCTCCTCACCCGCTCCACTGTTCTCGGCCAGCGCGTCTTGGCCCTTCGCATTCTCACCGCCTTGCTGCAGAACCACGGCTCCTCCGTTTCAGCTCCTCTCGTCGAATCCGGCGGACTTGCCCTCGCCTTTGCCCCGTTTCCCTCCCGTCTCAACTTCGAGGCCGCACTCACAAATCGCATCGCTTTTATTGAAGCTGTCGAGGCTCTCGTCAAGCCGCATTCACACCTTGCTCAGGACTGCCTTGTGCCCTCGTTCTACCTGGCCTCGCGCTTCTACTCTCCAAACCTTCACCTTCGACCGCCACCAGTGCTCTCCGTGTTGGCGGAGTCGGCCTGTGTCCCCGTCCTGGTCAACATTGCGCGCCACGACGCCTCTAATACAGAGACAGAGCAGTTTGCACTTCGAGCTCTAGCCATGGTCAGAGCCATTGTCACGTTTTCTGCAAAGTCGTCGCGAGACATGCTTGTGGGCCGCGCCACGTCTCAGGCCATGCAACAACTTTGCCTTGGCCGCGACACCCTCCGGCCCATCACGGCACTACTAGCGTGTGACGCTTTGTCCCAAGCAATCGTCAACGCGGCGTGGAGCGACCCTGAGCTAGTAAAGTCCTTAGACGACTCATGTTTTAGCGACACTTTCATGCGACGCGTCACTCAACCGCTCACCTGGTTTCTCCGAGATGCGTCGGTGAGACCCAGTGAGTGTCACTTCCAGGCAGCAAAGGGTGCGCTCCGCATGCTCAGGGCCTGCCTCACTTTCCAACGAGGCTTAATGCCATTTACCTCTTGCGCCCCAGCGGTTTGTAGGTTGGCCCATGAGGGTGTCGAACTATCCGCAGAAGCGTATTTAGCGCTCGAAGCATACACCCACTGTTTGTACACTACCGTCTCGTCAGAGGGCAATGGAAAAGATGACCAAGGGGTCGAAAAGGGTCGAACCGCTCCATCGCCTGGAGCCGTGTCAAAGCCACCACCAGGCGAACAACTGCAGTTTGCCAAAGACCAGCTCTCAGGGCTTGTTCCCATCGCATTAGAGGCGTCGAGGGTATTCGTTTCATCGGCTCAGAGCGAGAACCCCCTCCGCAAAGCGGCTGCTGGTCACTTTGTCGCAACTCTTCTCGCCATTGCTGCCATTCCCCTCGATCCAACTGTGATGCGAAAGATTCTCAGCCAATGCTCTGTAGCTTCGGAAACAATTGCGTCTTTCTCCGAGTCCGTCACGACTGACGGACTGGACACCCTTCAAGCCCAAGCGTCCCTAAGCCACGCAGGGGCCAGAACGTTGGCGCGCGTGCAGGTGGACCAGGAATACGTGCAACGAGAAGTAAAGCGCCTCATGATCGGTGTGAAGCGTGAGTTTCGATGCTTGGACGGAAATCGAGAGGGGCTCAAGTTTCCGTGGAGGCCGGCATCGAATGCGTGTGCAGAATGGATAGGGTTGTTTGCAAAGGTTTCTTCTGGTGTGAACGCAGTGAAGATGGCCATGGACCTAATTCCCTGGATTTCGGACCCGCAAATCATCATCGATATCTTGGCAAGATGTGTTCTTCGAGCCACTTGTCTCACGGATATCAACCCCTCCCTCACAGTAGAGCAGGCACGAAAGTGCTCAGAAGACCTGCTACCCCTTGCGCAAACGGATCTGTGGGAATTGTCGAGCCGGACAGATCCACCCTCAGGACTGCCTAGCGTATCTAGCGGAGATCGCACGGAACACAAGCTTTTAGTCGACCCCGAGGATCTTGGGAGCATGTGGGTCAAACATGAAGGAGCAATTGACTATTTCTTTTTTGTTGCAACAGGCTGGTTCGAAAAAGAAATCCTTGCTCCGGATGTACTGTTTCGCATCCTCTTGAAATCACCAAGCGCGTGGTACGAGACTTCCCCGAAACTTTTTCCTTTACTGCAACGCACTGCTAGTGAAGCTATCAGACGAGGCACAACCTTATTTCGGTCAAAATACGACACCACGCTCAGCACAATATCTACATCTCCAGATTCGGATCTGACTACTTGTTTGCTTGGGATGGCAGACCATTTAGTAACTCGTGGCCCTGTATCAACTGAGGGCCATTCCCAGGCGGATCCTTTGGCCACAGTTATCCTGACGATCATGTGTGCGCCTGAAGCTGATGATAGTCTGAGAGGGGCACTCTGGAAGAAGACTGTGGAGGAGTGTGGCGGAGCTATCTTATTTGAAAGAGCATTGTTCCTCGTCGATCGCAGTACAAAGTCATACAGGGCTCGTGAAAGCAGTGCAGATGCATTGATGGTAAGGTATTGCACCGCCATGAAACGTGGAATTTTGACAGGACCGCGATGCCCGCCGGTTCTCAGTGCCATCATTGTGATGGAAATGGCTGCTCAAATTGAGTCTCGCGATCCCGATGATCCGAAGGCACTGTGGACTTTGAAAGAGGCGTTGAAGGATGGCCCACGCACCAGATTCTTTTATGCTTTACAAGAGATGTTAGGATCAACAGCTAGAAACGACCACACAAATATAGTCACCAACTGGTTGGTTGTACATGAACAAAAGTAGATTACAAGAAAACTCAAAATGGCTCCCTGGGCGTACGGAACACCCTTCACACATTTTGCCCAGCTGACCACCTCTCACCTGCAGCAATAGATATCGCACCGGGAGGATCACCCTCTGATTTTTCTAGTCGCTTGTCGAAACAGAAGACAAAGACCATGCTGAGAAGCATTATAAAAATTCCTAGCGCCAAAATCACAACCCCAAACGTAGTTGTATCCTCCACAAATCCACAGAACCCATGCTCAAAATCCCATACGCTTTCGGTAAAACCTGCTTCTTTTGGTGTGCTGGCAGTTACCGAATTAGATTCCTCTTCTTCTCCGTTGCCTTCTTCCTTGTACTCAAATTCGCTCTGGGCTGTGTTAGTACTGTCCAGGGCGGTTCCAAATGCATTGTGGGTGTATGTATCCGAAGCAACGCATGTCCCTCGGGTGCAAACTCCTGTCCGCAATTCAGAGTGACTCTGTGCCCCGGCGTCCTTGTTAACACCCTCGAAAAAAGCGTCGCAACTGTTTTCTTTTTCTTCGCTGCAATTCCGTTCTTGATCAAGCTCTTGATCAAGCTCGTATTGATTGTGAAAAGCCATAAAATTTCGCACCAGAATCAGCTTGGCAAACGCACCAGTGTTGGAGTCAAACAACCGCGTGGATGGGAAAAAAGATCCTGGGTAGTTCCCCGGCTTCACGTCGTCTTTGACTTTATCGAGCATCTCTCCAAGGAACTCTTTTGCCATTTTGCAGTCACGCCATTGAGTGCGGCTTGTTAGACAGAATAGCACCTGGTCGATCACCTCATTATCGATCTCCACCGGCACGTCTTCTTTTTCAAACGCAAGAGAGATGACAGTCCTTGCGATAAGTTTCGCAAGTACGCGAATTGGCTCTGTATGTTTGATTAGTCTCTTGTCGTCATATATCGAATGATACAAGGAGTTTGTAAAAGATTCATTGTAACTTGTTATTGAGACCACTTCAGCCTCTGGCAAGTATTTCTGAAAGCTTTGAGAGGAATCTATTGGGGTAATATCGCGCGAACCTTCCGCAAGTGTGAGTTGGAGCTCATTGTTCTCGAATGCCTTGCTAAGAGCCTTCTCGAGCGGTCCCTCTCCTGGGTCCTCTTCCTGATCTATGTCGCGGATGCGGATGCCTTGTTTGTAGAAATTCGCATTCTGTACAGTCGCATTCTCAAAAATTGGAGTCGTAATCTGCCCGATGTTCAGGACAGTGAACGGTTTGTCTTTGAAATCCTTAAACTTCAAACTGTCCATAAAGCGATCTGAACAACCTTTTTTGCCTTCGGAGGCATTGTTCTCGATCTTGCACTCGAATTCTTGGACATCCTTGAGAAAACGCGACGACCCAGTATATCCCCACGACTCGGCATTCCACAGAAAATAAACTGGCTGTAGCTTCATCTTTATATTCTTGCCTTCTCCTCGTCTGTACTCAGCCACTGATTTAGCGACTGCCATTAGTACGGCCACGGAAGCAATCTCAGCCGAAGCTCCGAGTGAGAGATCCGGAAAGAATGCCAGTGAGTCCATGGGGGCAGTGATGGCGAGGACTTCACGCGGGCCGCCCTCCCTCGAGAAATCGACACGCCCCAAAGCAGACCACAATGATTGCCCTCCTATAGGAAGGCATGTCTTCTCACTTAAACACTTTTTTGAATTAGTTTTGTCCTCCCAAGACTGTTGTCCAGACGCGGAATCATCTTCTGGGTTGGTGCTGCCGCTTACATTGGAAGTTTCGGCAGCTTCCGGTGGACAGGCAAACATTTGCCCTCGTGACTGGCCCTTATATCTGGGTGCAGTGCTAGACCTCCGAGGGTTGTCTTCTTGAACGGAAAAAAAACCGTCCTGGATCGGAAAACGTTCTATTCTCTCACGAAGAAAACCTGCGATAGTAGAATTGACATGGAATATGTTAAAGGGGAACAGCAGAAACTTGCTCCCTCTTCCAAACGGGTTACGCTCTATGGTCGTCGAGGGGGGCACAGTCGAGCCGCCTTGAGATGGGGTCTCACCTTCCGGATAAATGTTATAGGCCATGTTTGGTTCGGCAGCATCAGATGAGAGGCGGTTCCCGATTATTGGGGGAAAGTTTAAGGTTTCGTTGTTGGCATCCAAGGACTGCTCATAAACGACGACAGCAGCCACATTTGTGGCGGTCTCAAGGTTTCGCACGACCCCCGGGTCTAAAAAGACGAACTCAGGCACTAGAAAAATGAATCGGTCATTTGCCGGACTTACGAGGCGTAGCAAAACTTCAGAGGATGTAACCTCTCGGAGTATTGCAGTACGAGTATCTTGTCCACATTGAGCGCAACCGAAAGCCCTTTCCCCGTCCATGAACATAACACATCGTCCGATATCTCTGAAGCATTTGCGCTGAAACCTACTCAGCTTTTCAAGTGAAGCATGGGCATGTTGAACAAGGAGCACAATTCCCAGTAGAAGTGTGAAAACGAATAGCGGCTGCTTGCGGAATAAGGATCGCATCTTCCAAAGCAGCGCGAAGCTCCAATGGCTCCGCCAGATGGCTGATGCAACCGAGCGTATGGCGTGAGGCCGACTTGCTTGCGTCCTTTTCCAGACCTGCAACAACGTCAACACCCGTGATCAGAAAGAGTCCATTATCAGGTGACGGCAGCGCCCCAAAGTCTCGTTGGATGGAAAATCCGAAATTCAGGAATGCCCCCAACGAGTCGTGGACCCTGGGGACCAGCAATGATCTTTTTGTCCCATTTCTTCACAATCCCATCCAGTACAGAATCGTGCGTATACTGTACACATCCGTCCGCTACGAATACCGTAGTATTGCACCACCGCTCCACTGTAGGCCGCGCTACCATTCGTGCCTACAGTACACCCGGGGACGGTATTTAGTGTCACTGATACCATTTCCGTTATGGAAATATCGACCCCTAAACATATATTAATGTCAGTGATACTATTTCCGTACTTACACTATTTCAGTGAAAACGGTATTACTGTCACTGATATTGTCAAACGTAACAATGAATAGTGTAAGTTCGATCCCATTAGAGCCTACAGCATTTCTTTTCGTCCTACCAAAACCTCACATGCCTGCCTCTAATCATAAGTCCTGACGCTGGCCCCCCCTCCTCTTTCCTTATCGCAGATGCCCCTTGTTACAACTCTGCATCGCCCAACCTTTTCCTATATACCAGACCAAAGACCGACCAGTTGACCTGTTCTTAGTACAAAACGCTTTTCAGTAATGAATGCCTGCGTATCTCCACTCCCGCGCACAAATTAGTGCTCCCGAAACGAACCGAACGAATCGCATACCAATACCATCCCTCCGGACCGGCAGTGAGATGGGTCCGGCTCAAAGGAAGGATTGTTCTATGTCTGGATTGATCCGTCGTCGTCCCGGGCTCTGACATGTATTAGTGTCAGTGACACTATTTACGTGGTGACACTAATTTAGCGCTGACACTAAATACCGTCCCCGGTGTACAGTACCAAGGGTACCCGTTCATCTTATAACTGATCGTTTTACAAGATCAAGCAGGACCATTCGCAGCATAGAGCTGATATCCCGTCTCCACGACTCGGCGTATCCTACGCGCGCGCCTCTCCATTACCCTGCAGAAAGACAACGCGCTCTCCATCGACTTCCGGAAATCCTATTCTGAGAGCGTACGTGTCCTTATGGTTCAACCTTTAGGACCGTACATGGACAGAGTGGCTCTTCCACAAACGAATCTCGAATAAAAGCGAAAGTAAAGTACAGGAGGAGGGGGACGCGGTAAGGCCCAACTGAGTAAAGCCAATCTCAATACAGGACGCCGTACTTCAGGGTGTCACTACAGTGAACCCTCTCGATATGGATACGCTCGGTGGACGTAATCTGTATCCATTTGCGGAGGTTATTCACATCCGGAGACCGTATCATAACGGTGTCACGGTGATCTGCATCTCTCAGAATGTCTGTGCTTTACTTAAAAAATGTATTTATCGTCGTCTGGACTGTGCAATTCCCCTTCTTGGTACGCAGAGATATCGGGACGAAAACCATACTTTCCGTTGATGATGCGGGACATGACAACTGGAGCAGGAGGTTTGGAAAGGGATAACTGTACTGAGGCCCACTTCGCAAGGGCGCTTTGTGACGTCTGCTCCTTGCTCTTTTTGCGCCGTTGGAACTCTGCACATATTTGTTGCTTTTGGGCGAGGTTAAGCTCAGAGCGCTTCATCGACGATTGTCGCTTGACGGGGGCAGATGGCTACGGTGCTGACAACACGCAATGTTTGCGATCAGAGGAGATTTATTGGGGGAGGACCAACGGGAGTATATGCTAGAAAGATGTTTTTGTCGAGAATGATGACAAGTGCGAAGCCTCAGGCGGGGATTGGAATTTATTGAGCAGATTGTAAACGGATCGATCAAGAATGAACGGTTACGGGGTAATTTGTGCCTTGGCCGCTGAAAAGTAACCATAAAATACGTTTTAAGTAGGAGGGGTCTGTATGATATGCTTATTTCAAATTGAACCCGATATCCAATTGAGGAATATTCCACAGTCATTGTTTTTTGGTAAAAATTTGTAAGCTACAGAGTACGTCGCTCGACTTTCTATCCGTTTACGGAGGATATCCATATGGAGAATGATCCTTATCGGGAGGGTTCACTGTAGACCATTCACGCAAATTCTCTCGGACAGCCCAAAGAGCCAAATAACTACTGAGAAGACAACTATTTTTGACGTATCACAAATTAATAAATAAATCACACACTAACTGTAAATATGGTCGACCTTTTCGACAAGAAACCCGCGAATCGCCAATACGTGGTCAATTCCTGGACTTCGATTGAATGTGAAAGAGCAGCATCTCAACCTGTAACGCCCAGTTCATTTGATAAAAGACCGGGCCACATCGTAATGACAGAGGTCAACGCCTTTCAAAAATTCAGAACTGGTTCTTCCCGCCCTCATCCCGCCCCCTTCCGCTCCGCCTTCTACACCTACAGTGTCAAGCCCCACTTCCCCACCTTTCCACTCCAATCCCACACACGCAACCTTTATACCTACACAACTCCACGCCCACATTCCACACCTTCCCATCCCATCTCCCTGTCCCCCATCGTCTCTCTCCCACTCTGCACTAGTTTTTCTCCATCTGCTCCGCCACTTTTACCCCTCTTGCCCCACCCCCGCTTCCCTCGCCGCGTGCCCCTCTCGCCTGCCATTTCTTATCATTATCGCACACTGCACTATGGCCTGCTTTTCATCTCACGATGCAGCACAAGCCCTGCAACTCCTCGCCAATGCGTCAATTGATCGCCGTAATGAGCTCGAGGCGTTCGAGTACGAGCGCCCAGAGAACAGTGATGAGGATAATGGGACTGATGCGCCGATATTTGACCATTTCTACGATGAGGAGGGTGCGAAGGCCATTGTGGAAATGACCAACTTCAACCGGGCCCAATTCATCTGCATTTCGGCTGGGTTTGAGGCGTTGGTCCTTGCAAACTACAACGTCGCTCGTCGGCGTAAATGCGCACAGAAGCCTAAAGACGTGCTGTTTATGGTATTGGCAGTTCTCAAGCACGGGGGTACGTGGGATTTTTTGGCGAGGATGTTTGGGCAGAAAACGTCCGCGTTTGAGCGAATGGTGCTTCGATTTATACAGCTCTTATCCCCTTTCTATGAGCACTACGTCTCAAACCAGACGAAGAGATGGACCATCAAATAACTGCAGGCAAATGGGCATGTGTTTAAAAATTATCCCATGGCATGGTACGCCACGGATGTGACGTTCCAGCCTGCCTTCAGGCCGTCGGGCAGTGTCGAAGAGGAAAAGCGGTATTACAGTAGTAAACACAAGTTGTATGGATACAAGGTTGAAGTCTCAGTTACCCCAAATGGTTTCGCTGTCGGTTCGAGCATGCACGAGCCCGGGTCCGTTTCCGATCTCGTCATTTTCCAGGAAATGCAGTGGTTTCATCGCCGCACCTAGCGCAAAAGGAGTGATGAAATGGACATTGCGGGCAGCGGCCCGCTTGCAGAGAGGTACACGAATCAGTGGGCAGTGCTAGCCGATAAAGGCTATCAAGGCGGTGGGGAGTTTTGTAGAATTATTCATCCCAAGCGCAAACCGCAAGGCTCGTCTTTGTCTCCCGCGGATGTTTCGACAAACAAGTTTATATATAGTGACTGCATTTTGGTAGAGAACTATTTCGGACGTTTATGCGGGCTTTGGAATGTGTTAGGGTCGAAATGGAAGAGGTCCGAGATTAATTATGACCCCATATTTCGTCTATGTCTAGGGCTGACGAACTTCCACATACGCTGGAAGCCGCTGCGGGATGACAACATGCAGTTATACCATCAGCTTACAAGCAGGTGGTATCACATTGGGAATTCTCAACTCGAACGACGCCGAAGGATACAGAAGCGCTATTGTCAGAGACGAACGGACTTCGTGCAACGCCAATTTCGTGCAGAGAGGGTGAGGAGCTGTTTGGGAGACAGCGAAGCGAAAGTATGTAGGGACAGCAGAAAGATACTATCGTAAAAGTATCATTTTTGCTCTCAATTTTTATGCATTGCTGTAGAGGGCGTTGAGTCGGCTGTTGGAGTCCATTACAGCATATTTTAGCTCACCTTCAAAAGGACCCAGTCGTCCTGCAATTGTCACTGTTCTGCGCAAACCCTTCATTTGTGTTGGAGACCTACTAGTTCTTTGATAAATGGTGGGTTATCTTCGAAAATGAACCCTCCGACCTTGTCATTTTCACTGTAAACCGTGGCATACAGCTTGCAAATATGTCAGATCTGACATATTTGCGAGCTTTATGGCACGGCAAAGGGTCAGTTAAGCGTCACGATCGATCGTGACGCTGAACTGACCCTTTCTTAATCAGCGTGACTCAGACATTCGCTCGGTCATTTACAGAGACCTGAACCGCACACGCCCTCACCTGAACCGCACACGTATGCGTATGATTGGATACAGAAGACACAGTAGATGCTCGAGCGTCTGCCACCAGTACATAAGTATCCGCCACACTCTACACGCCTAGCACTGCCCTCAAGCCCTTATGAAGCCATCGGACTCAGCCTGATTGCAACTCCTTATCAAGGAGCGATAGGATTGTGCTTAAAGTGCCCCGTACGACACTGCGAAGAGCACACCACCCGCCGTTCCTACCACAGCGAACTGGGTGTTATTATTTAGAATGTTGATGGTCTCCAGAATCTAGCAAAATCTATGGGTTCTTTGCTCGCAGAGAGATTTATCAGCCGGCGGTTGGATATCATGATATCATCTAGGGCGACGGCCAGATCCAGACTATCAAACGCGTTTTGTGAAACATCACAAACCAATTCTACTAGGTGAATGTTCCCAAAAGCATGGTGTTTTGTGAAACTTCACAAACAATATCTACTATGTGAATGTTCACAAACGCATGGTTTTTGTGAAACTTCACAAACAAATCGTACTATGTGAACGTTCACAATAGCATGGTGTTTTGTGAAACGTCACAAACAATTTCTACTAGGTGAATGTTCACAAACGTATGGTGTTTTGTGAAACTTCACAAACCAGTTCTACCACGTGAATTTTCACAAAAGCACAGTGTTTTGTGAAACTTCACAAACCAATTGTAATATGTGAACGTTCACAAAGGCATGTTGTTTTGTGAAACTTCGCAAACCAATTGAAATATGTGAACGTTCACAAAAGCACGGTGTTTTTGTAGTGCAATAATGGGCTCTACATGGGGTTGGAACGAAAGGAAAATAATTGGATATGACAAGTAGTCCGGGTTGGGGGACACACGTGTGAATAATTGCACAGTTTTAATTTTTAATTATTT